TTTGCGACTCAAAAAATTACATGACGACCTCATGCACTGCTTATACCACTCCAAAACAACGCTTTAAACAAGCAAGGAGACAACGCCTCTGCTACAATTGCCTTTCCACCCCTCACAGTACCAAAGAATGCCCTTCCAAATTCCGCTGCCGAATATGTTCAAGAAAACATATTTGGCAGCGGAATTTGAAAGGACATTCTTTGGTACCTCTCTCTGCACATCTCCTAGACCAAAATCGCCTTCAACTCGCCCTTCGAAACCAACTTCGCGTCAAAATCTCCATTATTCCCAGCATCCCACTCCGCCAAGAACTCCCAACCATGTCGTGCCTTTCGATTCCTCTCGAATATCATATGGTGACAATCAACCAATCTCAGAACTCAAGTTCAAGCCTACTTCAACTTCGCCGAGAATTCAAAAACATGCCGTTCACTTCGATTCCTCACAAATAGCACGTGATGAAAATCAGCCATTCATGGAACCTAAGTCTGAGCCCGATTCACCATCCACTGGAAGTAACATGATCCACGTCACCTTCACTACAAATGAAATATCCGATCACCAACCAGCTCCGCTAATGCGTACCGAAGTGAAGATATTCAATCCGGATGTCCCCTCGCGTTGTACCACTACAATTGCCTTTCTTGACTGCGGCTCTACTGCAACCTTCATTATTGAGGAGCTTGCCGCTCTACTTGATTTGCCGAACATCAGGAAAGAAGAGCTCACTGTTGCGACATTTTCCGGAACAGAGCCATTAATAATGAAGTGCTCCCTCCATTCTCTGGGAAATGTGACGGAAAACGGGAACAAATGTCTCACGGTGAAATCTACTCCGTTCCTCACAGAAGATGTAACGCAAGTTATCCCTGATGGCAAACTATCTATAAGCACCTGTAAACCGTCCATACTAATCGGAAACGATTACTTCTGGGATCTTGTACTCTCCCATAACTTCTATTACAAGAATCTATCGAAAGGACACCGCCTCCTCCACACGACTATAGGAGACATTATCTTGAAGAAGGCTTTAGATATCAAGCTCAAAGACTGCAGCTTTGCCTCCATCGAGAAT